TAAGGATTGTATTCGAAGACTGCACGTCCTGAAGTACGAGTTTGCCCTTTGAAGGTGTTAGGCGCAGCTGAAAGATCGTACGATCATGATCAGTTTATTCGACAGAGGTTTCACTTCGTCTTTAGTGCTGACAAGATTCTCACCAGTAACGTTTTGAACTCCGGGGTTTTGAAACCCGTCCAGCGTCTAACAAAGTTTTTACAAAAAACGGATGGAGTGGACATCCTTAACGGGCATCATTCTTTGTAAGGAAGCTGACGCCCAAAAGAATGTGATTACCGGGACCGGATTATGTTAACAGACTTCTGCGGCATACCCTGTCGGGCGATTGGACAGCACCCTTGAAGTCAAGGAACACGACGATTATAGGTCGTCTGTATACACGACTTTGCTCCAACACCTCACGGAGGGTGAAAATGTGGTCGATACAGCTTCTGTACGATAAAAATTCCGCTTGATGTTCACCGATCAAGCCTTCGCGCGCCACCATAAGTGGGGGAGGGATCAGTGACGCCAGAAGCCTTGTTACAAGGGGAGTCAAACTAACACCTTTGCGGTTACCACATTCACTACGAGTACGTCTTTTGAAACTCAACACCTTCACTGACTTACTCCAACTGTCGGGGACGGTCTTGTTCTTCGAGATAGGCTAGACAATCACTGACAGACGAATTCACCGCCATCCTAGAAGGGAGTGGGTGGAAGGTCGCCACTGCCAACAGCACGATAACGCTTGAGTAGAGATACACATTCGGATAATTCCAAGTCCGAAATGGGTTCCATGTTCACAGCTGAGCTTTCTGTTGAAGACCGGCTTTACCGATTGGAGATAGCGGGTGGCCACCTGAATTGTTGTTCAAAATACTGTGTCCAGCAGTCCATACATTCTTTGCTGGATATCAGAGTGCCATTCTGGTCTCCGATAGTTTCGCTGACAGCAGGCTTCCTTGTGCTAGTTGAATGAATCAAATAAAAAAAATTGCGCGGACGTTTCTAGCATTTTCGGCAGCTTCCATTTCTTCGGCCCTTCAGGTCCACCAAGGTTCTCAGTTGCATAGACACTCAGTCTTACCTGGTTTCGGATAATACGTCGGGGTGAATTGTGGTTGTGGCCAGTAGGAATCTGTCCTGGCCTCCAATAAAGCGACGGTCCCATCAGAGACGCAATTTTTGGATAAGTTTTTCTTGATTGAACCGCAAACCTTCCGGTGTATTCAAGAAGTGGTCTAACGTAGGCTGCATATGGTATCTGGAAGTGCATATGGGTGATACGAGGGGAGGGGCGTCGAATCACCTGAAGAACGACGGATGCTTTATGAGCCGATTTACTGTGATAGGGTAAGAAGGACATGCCTAAAGAGAGCCAAATACCTATCTTTGTAATGTCTTCTGGTCCATCCTCACCGTGCAGGACAAAGGCGTTTTCTGATTTTCTCCGAACGATGTATGGAGAATAGTTCAGAATAAGATGCTACTGTTCACTGCTTTGTGACAGTGGCATTCGCTTGAAGCGTCCTGGCAGTGAAACTCCTAGGTTTCAATTGAGGTTTCTCAGAAGGGCGCTGTTGTACCGGAGTACAGTCGAAAACCTGGCTAACAGTCAAGATGGATGTTGAACTACTGTTTTTCTACAGAATGTTTTTTTTCGTAGAATGGAGGTTACTACGGGACAAGTTTGGTTATCTTGATCAGAAGGCTGCAGAAGAATACTAGAAGGATTGGGAGGTCATTGGGGTCGCACGGGAAGTCGCTGTTGTGGTACAGGGCTACACTGCCTGTCCACCATCTGTCTCTTCTGATTGACGGGGTCGCGGTATTTGTGGCCTTTTGTCGTGAATGTCAATTGTGGATGAGGTCTCTGTTCCAGTAGTAAGATTCAGAGCAGCTTGTTGATTGCGGTTGAGAAGTTCAACAGATGCGTAAATGTGGAGCCTTCCATAGAAACTAGGTGTTTTGCGGCAGGAAGCCAGAGGGGCCAGTCGAGAGCAGGTTGGTTCCTGAAAGTTTTTATTCCTTTGGTTTCAGTGCAGGTTGTCATGCCTCGTTGAATGGACCGATAAGGGGCTCCACCTTTACTCTCGAACGATCATCTCGTAAGACAAGATTAGTCGGCTCTGGAAATCTTTCAGATACACGCCGGGCGATAGACTGCCAGATTTGCACACATCGCGAACCAGTGTCGGTCTTGATGGTAGACCTCGAAGACGAAAGGGACTACAGTGCGGGCTATATTGTACGGCTGCTGGACTTGGCCAGGATCAAAAACGTCTCGAAACCTTTGAACACCGATATCTCAGAAGTGCCGCTGAAATCGGCTGGAACCACTAAGTTCGCAATGAGGTGATCAAGAAACAAGTCTTTGATGAAACTGACAGGCCTTCACTCAAAGATTGCATCCATCACTGCTGGCTAAGGTGGATGGGCCATGTTTTAGACGGGCCGAGTTACTACCTGCCGGTAACGGTGCTGTCTTCTGCTTCTCACTCAGAGTGGTGCAAACTTAGAGATAAGCAGAACGTAGCATGTCAGAAAGGAATGAAGGATGTTATAGAAAGGTCGGGCGCTTTGGGTGCTGTTCGCCTTCCAAAATGTGATCCTTATAACCCTTCCCGTGCTTTGCTGGAGGCACGATATGGTGACTAACTTTTGTCAGTGGTCAGTTTTCATCCAGATTGTGTGACTAAGTTTTAAAGGTGTAGCCACCTGGGATGTTTGTGGTAGGCTAGCCATATGTCCTCATCCCCGTCTGTTTCCATTATGAGGATTTGTTCCAATAAACTGACATGGCTGTACGGTATTTAGGCACCAGTGTTTCAGTCTGGTGTTGCCGTCAATGATAATGATGACACACCGCTGTATTTGTGTGGTAGGAACACCGTATTTCCAGTACTGAAGTAGATTGACGTTTGGTAATTCGTCAAAGGCAGCAGTTACGCTGACCAGGCTCTCTGTTAGCCTAGGAGAGCCATATTGACCCTATCAGGATTTAGAAGGAAGGAAGCAGCAGGTGGACGGACTGTGACTTGAGAAGTGAGGATGCCTTAGGGTTTTCGTCACTTCGATGTGCACTGTCTGCACTGGTGGGGAATTAGGGGCCTATGCCATCGGTGACTGGAGGCCCCGGCGGAATAGCAAAGTCGCGAAGCTAATTGCGTTCTTGTGTTCACTAATTTACCCCCTAGTTTTTGAGTTTCGTTTCTCCGTGTTTCTGGGATATTTTATCGCTCTTTTGCGTTTAGTTTTGGTCGGGGAACGGGGAGTGTGGTAACTCGATCTATTTATGTATACGATTCATGATTGTCAACCAGAACAGGACATAACAAATGCAGGTAATCGTGTGCATCAATTAAGCAACCTCATTTCGCTTGGAGATTTGTTCTCTACCTTTGTCCTCTTTTTTCACCTCAGTTGCCGTCACGGCGCAAAATGCATCATTTTCTCGAGGCTTCATAGTATGGGTAAAATCATGAGTTTGAGGTTGGTGACACTTCATGAAGTTTTTGGGAGTTTTGTATGGCTGATATCCCCAGCATCGTCCGGTGTGTCTCTCCTATTCTTTACACAGCCAAGTACGGCCTATAATGTAAAGGGGAAAGCGTGAATTACCGTCAGTATAGCTGCGGGACTTATAAACTGGTGTGACTTGCCAAGTAGGCCGAAACTGAATTAACATATTCGTCATTAAGTGTGACATACTGGACTATCCTAGCCTGGTTCATCCCGCCAATCAAATTAAATGTACTGGGGGTTACTCGCTATCGCATACAAGCACTTATTTGTGAGCGGCAAAGGCGCTGGCTGGTAGAGGTTCGACCGTTACCGTAGCCTCCCACACACGATCGGACAATGTCCTCTGACCTATTTCTGGCTGTTCATCTTGTTGGTCCCCTTCAGTGATAATCTGTTTCGACCTGGTCACTCTAACCAATTTGTGTTCTTAGAACATACTGAATTGATTACATACTTCCGATAATGGCTACTCTGTCCTTGGACTAATCGTTAAATATATAAGTGTTGTTTATAGCTACCCTGTCCCCGGAATCGGACTGGATGTTGACGTCGAAGAATCTTATGTTAACCCAGTCGTATTCACTTTCGTATCACTGGGCAATGTGTGCTTTCCCATGGCAGAACCGTGCGGCATAGTGACTTCCGAACAAGGTTATCCCATTCGATCACGCAATGCAGCCAGCGTCGCTTAGTTTCGCGACAACTATCCGTTCTTCATGACGAAGGTCTACCTGAAGTGAACCAAATAATCTGTGAGAGCCTTATGTACCTCCTGAGTACCTACCACTTTGATGAGCAGCTCAGGGGCGCTGTTTAGTTTTTCGCCGAGCGCGGAAAGTGGATCTCATGCGTTCCGTCACCAATCGAAGCGAAGTCGTCTGTGTTGAGTGTTGTAACCTAATCACGCATTAACAATGTTTTCTGGCTTGTGGACGAAGCATTAGCAATCCAGTTGCCAAGCTCGATTAACAGAACATCAACCACGCAGCACCTTTTGGATGCTTCCAAGACTCACCAACTCAACGCCAAATATACCGTCCTATACCGTAGCCAAGGGTTGCAAAAGTCGACAGGTTTCAGTATTATAAGTTTTATGAAAAGTCATGACGGTTGAATTACTGGTTAGGCTTTGTTTGCCTAATCTGTTAATCGTGTCAGCTTGGTGCCGCTTTATGTGTGTGTCGGCTGGCAGTAATTTATGGCTCTGGTAGGCAGTCAGCGGTTTTTTGATAGAGGAACGAGTGTTCTTTTCTGGGATATCAATTTTGAGAGTGGAAATTCGCCCTTGGGAGGACTGCTGTACCTACGGTACAGAGTTGAGCTTCCATTAGGTAGCAGCAGTCACGAAATGCACTAAGTGACTTGAACTATGGATCTTAAGTTTTTTTATGTGCGTTAGTTGAAGCTCATTAGCTGACTGTAAGTGACAGTCATCCCCTAATCAAAAAAAAATAAATTCACACTTTTTTCTACCCTTGTCATCTCTACAGTTACAAACGCCTCCTGACCATCGGCACGATGGGTGTGACAACCTACAACAAGGATACTTTGAGAGTTACAAACCAGGTAGGTCTGAAATGTATTCCGTGGAAGTCTTCCTCTGGACTAGCAGTTTTCCTACATATCCACCGTTGGCTTACGTGACCACATGTGGATACGATGTTCGCCTAAAGAAGGAACGAGGTGCTAAGCCACTGTGGTTGATGTCTGGCTCACATCGACCGTTCGCAATGAAAGGAGAGTGAACAGGTGTCTACGCCTAGGCACTGGTATCTTAGTAACTGACATACTAAAGAAGGAACGAGGTGCTAAGCCACTGTAGTTGATGTCTGGTTCACATCGACCGTTCGTAATGAAAGGAGGGTGAACAGGTTTCTACGCCTAGGCGCTGGTATCTTAGTAACTGACATATTGACAGGTGTATTGCTCCACAGTCCCCCTGTACATTCCTAAATTTTCAGCAGCTTTGCCCCATGCTATAATTTCTGTTCGTCCCGGACAGTCAGTGCCGTACCTTTCATGATTCAACAGTCATATATTGTCATTTTCTACTGACACGTTAAATTTGAATGTGCCTAAGGCTTAAATGGCATCTAGTTCATACACTTGCATCTCTCAAAAAGAGGCCCCTTCACGGAGAAATGAAACAGACCATTTTGAGGATAGATACCTCTCAAAGTTCTCTTGCACATCAGTTCGTGGCGAAAGTGAAGCCCTTGTTTGAAACTTACTAGGGAGTGACTTCTTTGGGAGACTTTTTATTTGAGGTACAAGGCAGTTTCCGTGAGCCGTCTGATAATTCAAGGGTAGCTTCGGATATTCTCCGGGGTTGAGCTTTCTAACTGACCACAAAGGCTTTCTGTCTTGTAGTATTCAGAACAAAAGTGTTCTGTATTTATGGACAATACTCCGGGACACTACTCGTACACGTTGTTCAGCATCAAGTTACTCGTATTGTTCGATCGATCGTCAAACGATTCTTTTGGATTGTTCTAGAATAAAGCTGATATAAAGAGACGTTCAACGATCCAACCGTCTTCAGCTACCCTTAGCTTTTGAGTTGACAAACTGACCCAAACTCCATTCTAGTTAGCAAAGACTGTGGATCTGTTCGTACCAAGTTCATTGCTTTTTCCATCCTTCCAACTTCAACATCATCGTTTTCTTTCTCTCTGCTTCCAAGTACTCCTTTCATTTGTCTCACCCTTTAGTGGCCCTACTCAGAAATTTGTGGCGTACGCCCCGATCCGACGGTCAAGAACAATCAGCCTCATTTGCAGCGACTGATTCTCACCCTATGCGATGCGAATCGCAAACGGACTGAGATGACCTTTGCTTCGGAGTACCGGGTTGATGTCCTGACCGATTTTCTGGTAAGTCTGTTTTGTAAACTCTCACGACATGTTTGTGGGTATTTCAGACAATCGAGGACCCCAGTACCCCGAATGTGAGGACCGAGCCAGTACTATCTCGAAGGATGTACGATGGTTGAGGTACTGCCTGTTTGCCCAAACTTAGACAAGGGCAGTCGAGATGCCGAGGTTAGGCTCGAACCTTCCGGTTTTCAAGTTCGCGAGCTATTTTGAACTTCGTGCTTCCTTCGGTTGGTCTGGCAGCTAGGCACAGGATAGGTGTTACAGCTGAACGTTTATCATCCTTATGATTACCATTTATTATTACAATACTGTTTCAGAAGGTCCCTTCAGAAGGGCAAACAAGGCCGTATTTTGAACTACTTACGTAGTAGACGAAGGCATGAAAACGAATTACAATCTCTGACCGATAATAGGCTGGAGTTTTTTTTGTATTTCGCCAAATTACTGATTCTCCAAGGTTTTTTTTATTATGCATAAACCTTTCAAGGTCGCGTTATTTCTCGTTCCCTCTTCATTGCATCTTAGACCTTTGTTTTATCTGAACTAGAACCTTCATGGGGCGTTTTCTTTCTTCTAATCTTGAAAATTAAGCTTTGTCTTCCAGAGAAAACATTTACCCCCTTGTTTTAATTGTTGTACAACACCTTTCGCGAAAGGACTGTGGAGAAAACGTCTTTTCAAGACTGTCATCAAGTCAAATACTGGGTGGAGTTTGCCTTGTACATGGGTGAGATGGCCCAAGTGGTTAGAGCGCGAATTTACTGACCGGAAGGTCCTTGGTTCGAACCCGACCTCTGACTCTCGACTTCCCTGTCTAGGCTTGGGCAACCTGGCAGTATCCCAGCCCTTGTGCAACCTTCGGGTGACATGGCAGTTAGGCACCGCAAGGATGTTATAACTGAACGATGTTTTAAGATTTTTTCTGCCTTGTACACCATGACGAAGAGAACCGCTTTACGAACCGTTTGTGATGTTGATCAATTGAACCTGCCTCATGTTTCAGTTGACACCATATTCGAGCCATCGAGGTAGTGGCCTTTCGACAATTTTCCCACAAACTTATTGGTAGTGGACATCCTGCTCATGATGTTTCTTTCGCAAATATTTTTACACAGAACCCCCATCAGTTCTTTTTCTTCCCACTCCTCGTCGAGGCGTTTCTTCCCCCCCCTATTATGTACAGTCAGACGCCAGTATCGACATGTTTCTGCTATCCGACATTTGCCATTTCTAGGATGGCAGCACCACCAGCCATATGGTTATCGATAACCACCTTGACGACACTGAGGGAGGTGCGGTAGCACGCTGCAATTCAAAGGATTTGACGGATGATACCAAAACCTCACACTGGTAAGCAGGTGACTCGTGTCGGAATCCAGCCATGATATTTAGGCCGGCTGGTGGCTTGCAACAGGTCACACTACACGTTCGCCTATTCCCTCGCGTCCGCATGATCGGCGCTAAACGTTTTTTGCGCGCAGTACCACATTCAACTCGGTGTAAACCGCCTGTAGCTCTGCAGACGCGCACTGATTTGGCTACTGTTGATCGGCAAATCCGTTTCAGATGTTAGCCATCCATGGTTGCTGATTCTGTCCCAACCAGCTCGATAGCTCAGTGGTAAAGGCAGGAGCTTACTGACCAGAAGGTCCGTGGTTCGAACTCAGCCTCTGCTTCTCGACTTCCCCTGTCTAGGCTTGGACAACCTGGGAGTGTCTGAAGTATCGTGCTTCCTTCGGGTGGCATGCTGGCAATGCAGCGAAAGAAACAGGTATTCTAGGGAGACCAACTCTAACGAGGTTCTCAATTATCTAGTTGAGGCGCCACACTGTGAGACTCAACCTGGATGTTCCTCGTGAGAGTGAACATCCGGAGAGTCTCGGAGAGTATCGATGAGATTCCGGCTTTGACGTTCAACTGGTTTACTTTGGTTTCAAATGGTTCAGCTGTAACATAGCTGTGCATATTCAGCATGCCAGTCGAAGCAAGCACACAAGGCTTCGGGTAGTGCCAGGTTGCCCAAGCCTAGATGGGGAAGCCGAGTTGTAATCGCGGACCTTCTTGTCAATAAATCTGCGCTCTAACCACTGAGCCCTCTAGCCGTTTACGCGGTTGTGTGTTTGGATTACCGCGGATCGATCGTCTGGCCACGTGAGGCAACCTGTGTCAGCTGTTTATTCGGAGTTGACAACTAGATTGTATTTGACCTTATTATGATATGTTGAAAACATATTTGCTATTCTCTCGGATGCATCTTTCCATCAGAAAAACCGTTCGCTTAGTTTACTTTCTTCACATACCATGAACTGAGCACATATTGGTAGGACAGCATTCTTTTTGAATCAGGTCACTTTGCTTACCATAATTTGATCTGTACTCTCCTTGGATGTGACACGTGAATTCAGTAAAAGCTTGACTGAAACTCACTTGCCAGCACGCCTCAGAGTTGTGTTGGGTGAAAATCCGTCCTGAGTAATCGTGACCATACTTGCGTCTTGCTCAGAAACAATGTATCGATCCAGTGAGTAATGCTTTATTGTCATCCGTTTACGTAACTGCCCGCGAAGTGACTGAAGGCATGAATGTATACTCCTATTTTTAGGAGGTAACTATTCTCCACAAGACTCAGTTTACTTTTACCCGGTTAGGATGGGATACCCGATAGAACACCCGCTGCTCCGGAAAAGTGTCTGCTCGTCAGAGGCACCAAAGAGAGAGAGAGAGATCACCGTTGGCTGCAAAATACTTAGTGTGACTTCCTGAACGGTGTCGGTCCTTGGGTTCCTGCACCGCCCACTGTGGTTTGTCAAGAGGCACGGTAGCTTTGGGCAGTCCTTTATGGAGACAAAGAAAGATTATTACAACCGTATTTATAGCGTCATCACAGAATGTTCCACAAGGTCCTGTTAGAATCTTCGTGAAGAGACGAAATGCGTCGAGCTACAGATGCTCGATCCAGATTGGCCTACACTCTGACCAATCAGGGCATGCCTTCGCTTGGTCCGCAGCCCGTACGTGACACATCCGTCCATTTGACGTTATTAGGGGCTATTAGGGGCAGCTGGCCTCCTCACAAGACTTGACTTACGTTCTGGTTCGAGGACAGTCCAAATCCCTTTCCGAGTGAATCCGAAAACGGTCAGCCTTCAATCCAACCACTGCGTTTTTATCATAGCAGGGACTAAGTGAGTTTCGATGGGGTCAGATCCGTTTTTGGTTCCACTTGGATGGAACAGTTGAAGCAACAGTGTCGACTATTCTCCTTGTCGATTGTTCTCGTATTTGGCGGATATGTATCGTGAATACCTTTTCCCTTCAGCGTTTCCGAACCAGATTCGCCGAACCATCCAGTCCGAACCCGGTGAGTTCCCGTATCGCTTTTTCAAATAGCTGCTGAATAGTTGCGCTATTACACTTGGGTTCGTTCGGTTCTGTTTATTTTCCGGGGGTTTCAGATTTCACCCTTTGATCTCCCGACTCCTTTACGTATAGCCTATGAATCCCTCCGAATTTGGCAGCTTAGCTGAAAGGGTTTTACTCAACGTATCACCATTGAGACCCTTTCTGTCCGGCGACAAATCCGCCTATCCGGTACGGAAGTTCGAATAATACAAGCGATCTTCCACAGAGTGTCTGTCATGTGTGTGTGGACGAATTATCACATGTCTGGTGGCTCGGTTGTGTTGACTTCCGTCGAGTAATAGGCGTTTTCAAGTAGTATAACGCAATTTCGTTTCAAACGCACTTCGGAAAGTTAGTGCTGCATGTAAGTTGTGATGTTTTTGTTTCACTTCTTGGTGCGCTTGGTAGTCGGAGTCAACGAAAATGCTAACCGTTTTCGTGACACTGTCATGTGTCTCTCAGGCCTCGAGGTTTAATGTCATGCCACACCACTGTCCGCAGGTCAGACAATTCTCAGGTCATTTGTGTGCTGTCATGTGTGTTTGTCGGTCACCTTGTGGTTCTTACTTTCCTTCTGGGTTTGAGATCTATTATCGATCGCTTTCTTTTTTAGACGACACTTGCATTTTACAAACTCCAGTTAATATAGACTTTCTGTTTACGGTTCACCGGGTCTTGTAGTGGCTAGAGGTCTGACGAACACAGTCTCCTGGTCCTCCAGGTTGAGGGCTGGAACATGTGGCGACTTTTTCCGTAGAAACCCTGGTGCATTTGCATTTCCCGCCAAACACTGCTACCTTGTGGTTAGGCTTTTGGACCCTAATTGTCCTCCTGTCTATGTGTGGGCGCCCTGACAGTATCCCAGCCCACATACAACCATAAACTGCAATGATGACCGGTTCCTAGTTTATCTGTCCGAGTATCATTCACAGTATGCCTGGAATCGGAGCTAAAGATTTGCCGGTAGAAGCCTCGAGATAACATGGTTGTTAGTTTGAGGGCGTTTGGAGACTTTTTTCAGTGGATATTTCGTCCTTCCCATGAAGCCATTCTATGATGGAAAGCCGAAAAGCGTTTTTTTCACTGGCCTCAGAAGAACCGTTTTACTTGAGCCATACTTTGGATGACCTTGAAAGACCGTGAGTAGAAATGACTCAAAGGTGGACAAGGAAGCAGCCAGTAACGCAACAAACAAGGCTGTTCGAATGGGACACCCTCGGGTGGAGGAGCTGAGGCGTTAAAGCTGAACGGTTGGATCCGCGAATTAGCTTTTGCAAATTAGTGGACCTGATTCTTTTAGGAAGTCAAACGAGTGCTTTCAGAAACATTCTGTAAGCATTCAGTCGTCCGTTCCTGTAGGTTGTCTCACGTAGAGGTGGCAACTAAGCTTTTGGAACTGTACTACCTACATAATATAAGTAGGTCGCTCACAAATGGGAACAGCCCGCACGTCACCTGGGCTTTGTTTGTGAAGTTGCTTCTCGAGGAGCTAATCATAACCATATTACAATATGTGGTTGGAAGTGGGGTGGTGATATACAATGTTTATCATCCGTTCACTTTCCGTCCTTGTAGTGGCATGTGCGAGATTTGAAATCTAGATTTCCATCTGTTTTCTGTCTGTTTTCCAGAGGATCATTGTCACATTTTCCCCCCTCCCCTTTTTCACTTCCTCGTCACAGCGTGTGGATGCTGTTAAAGTTGGTTGGTCCGAACGAACTACCAGTGTTTTGCTTTCGGCCACTCCGATTTCCATCGACCAACTGGATTCGACTTCAGGAAACGTCATAAAGAGTTATCTGTATCGGAACATTGATCATCTGGATGTGGTACGTTATCGCCTTTCCTGTCTGTTTGCTCTGTGTTTTAACCATCCGTTCACTGAATCATCAACTGAATGTGTTCAAGTTGGATAATTTGAAACACTTATTCGTTCAATCTTAGGCGTTCTGCCCCTTCTTTAGCTGTGTTCATTCCCGCACTACTCAAGGTTACAGGGACACTCAAAATGCAATTCCTATCTCCTCCCCCATAGGTAGTCAAACAAAAAGAGACTAGTTCCCTAGGCAGTCCACAACGACGTGTCACGTCATCCGTGGTGTGTCGTGCAATTCGTGAAGTGAATCCTGTGAATGGTTAATCTTTTACTGAGTATACTAGTCTGTCATCGACGTTTTGGGCGTTTTGGTCATCTCTAGTGGGAAAATCGGGCTATTACTACTGAATTTCATCGACCAGGAGAGACCGGAGCGACATCGTAGACTATGCTTATTTGGCCGCCTAGTTCCTGTGCAGGAGCAGAGCTTTCCTTGAACCCAACATAAGAAGAAGAGATCGGATTGCATACGCGCTGGCGTTAGCCGCCACACTCCTAGGAGAAGTATTCAGGGACGGAAGATCGCTCAACTGTAACACCCTTCCGGTGCCTAGCTGCCACGCTACCCGAAGGAAGCACGAGAGCCGAGATACTGCCAGATTGTTCAAGACTAGACAGGGGAAGTCGAGAGGCAGAGGTCGGGTTCGAACCACGGACCTTCCAGTGAGTAAATAAGTAGCTCTGTTGGTTCGACCCGTGCGAAGAACTTGCTGATAAAGTCGTCGCTTTTCACGAACTTTATTGACAGACTGTTTAGCCCCAAAATGTGGTCAAATCTGAAGGACGACCCTCGAACTGTTTCGTTCCAATCATGCGCATATTCGAATCACAGCGCCGTTGGTTTTTGTTTGTCACGATTTCGACTTGACTTCTTCCTCAGATGATCGACGTTCACAAACCAATTCTTCGCTTGAGGTGAGCTAGGAAACCAACTCAGTTTTTTTCGATTGTGACGCAAATAGACTCGATTTGTATGTGTGCACCCTATGGTTGGACGGGGAAGCATTCTTACCGGTTACTCAGACCCATCGTAATCTTGATCGCTCTGACTCAATTTTGAGCCTTAATTTGAAGATTCAATAGAAACATTACCATCCTACCATCATTGTTATTTTTCTGGTAAATCAACTTAGGAGACCCTGCAACACCACGGTACAATCCGTCAAATGGAGTTAGATGTCTTCAGGTTGTGTATCCGTTCGCTATCAAGCCGGGAATTCGACACTGGGTTGGGAGCTAGAAACAGCTCCAGGTTACGGCCCACATACATGGTGTCTCATAATAGACGCAAAAAA